CCCCCTCACACGTCGTTTCAACCAGACAGCCATTTGTAATCCATAGGGAGGGCGCAGAAAAACTTTGGGAACCACTGGTTTAGTTTATTATATTACTGAGCAGATAAAGTAAGAAATGTCACATAAATAAAAAAAGAAAAAGAGAAAAGAAGACCCATAAGTGCTTTCAACTTGACAATTTTGGCCCTCAGGACAAAAAGTTTGTACACCACTGCATCACTTCGTGTTGCTCTGTCACATAAAATTCCACGAAACTGCGCAAACGTTTGCCTCGCCAAGGATTATAAAAATTTTTGCAAAGCAAAGGTGTCAACTGGATGGAGTCCTGTCTCAAATCTTCTGAGGAAATCCAGTATGCAGAGTCACACTGAGGGTTGGTCACCTTTTTCAGAAAGCACTTTTCAGCTGCCTCTGTTATCTTTTTACAAGGACAGAAGGTCTCCGTCACACCCAGCGTGATGTGAAGTGATTTGATGTGAAGTGGCGTACGCCACTTTGTGCCTATGCACACGCGCGCGCATCTCCACGTCCGTTTCCAAACTCGGGTGTTTGCGCGCGCGCGGCCCCTCGCATGCGCTCTTGTGTACGCCTGTACGTGCGAATGCGTGTGTTGTCAGAGTGTGTGTCTTGTGTCTGAAGGTGTCAAAGTGTTGCCTGGCTGGTCTTTGAATCAGAGCAGAGTCGGTTGCCAGGGCATTCCATCAGACCTCTTATTCTCCTCTAATTTTACTTTGATAGGCAATCTGGACCTTAGCCTGCGTGCGCTTGCTTGCATGCGTGTGTGTGTGTGTGTGTTTAGTTAGAGCGTGACTTACCTGGAGGTCTGACATACACTTTCAGCTTTAGACATGCCCGGCCCACATGGTTTGGGTGAGGAGACGCTGTAAACAGAGAGAGATTGGAAAATGCGATCAGTTTAGAGATTGAATCATTGGTGCAGCTGACTACATACGTGAAGCGTCCAACTGATGATGCTTTTTGGGGCCAGGTGTCATTAGGTTTTGCCGGATAGTGATGTGGAGGTGCTGCGCTTGCGTGTGGAGGGAGTGTAAACGCCGTCATTGACTATAATGGGGTGCATAATTACTGCGGTGGAGACACAGGCAGTGTAAATTGGGGGTTAATATACTGGCACTGGATGGACTCAATTGGTTGCCTCCGGGTAGCTGGACACGTCTAAGCTTCAAAAATAAGGCAAGTGCACAGAATAAGACCCAATGACCTTTGCATTTAATATCTTCATATACTACTATACTCATTGAGTAAGATTGCTGGATACCATTTAAATATAAAGACGAGCAAACATATTTTAATCAAACATATGCGAGAAACAGACCTTAATACTTCTTGTTTAAATACCAGCTTTTTTGTTTTAATGTTTTTTTTCTGGTCTTTAAAATGCCAGAAAAGAGCATGAAGACGTTTTAGAATATTAAATCAGATATTAAGATTCGCTACTTAGTAACTGAATAACATTTTTTTTTTTTTTTTTACCAAATGTGGTTTTACTCTTACTTTTCTGGGAAATCTACTTTTTACTTTTACTTGACTAAAAGAATGTTGTAGTGCTGCTCTACCCACCCCGGAGCCCATAGTCATGATTTGTTGATTTTGAGGAGGACCCGAAGTGCAACAGGACATTTTCAGACACAAGCTGAAAAATATTTGAACAAAGACAGTCCAAAAACACCTATTCAGGACTCAGGGAAAACCAGGAACACTCAAACGCAGTCAGCGCATGCTGATGCGAGAACCCAGCATTGAACAACGACACAGGTGAGAAAATATATACACTCGGGGTTAATCAAGAGAACAAAGACCTAATTATAGAGAAGGGATTAGACACGGCAGATAAAGGCTGAAGAAAAACTTAAAATACAAACGGATGAAACCCAAACACCCCAGAACCATGACGACAGTAGGACTTCAGGTGATGCATGCTGGGGGGTCGGATCGAAGGATTTCAGAATGAGAAAACTTGCAGAAACGTCAACAAAAGGAAGCAGGGCAAACACATGAACAGAATCCAACAGTCTTAAATGCAGCTGCTGGGTGAGAATCTGAGCAGAGATCTGGGGGAAGGCTGAATACCGGAGATAAGAGAAACTAAATGGAAAGAGAGAGGATCTAACGAACCGAAAGAACTAAGAATTTCAACCAAAATGCACAGAGTGATATTCAATAAGAACCAGGAAACTCAGCACAAAAGATGAAGAGACTCTAATGGTAGCAAGCTAAATAAAAACACAGAGCGGTGTAACTTGCTAAGGAACATTTAACCAGATATCACTGTGGGCGTAGGTTTATAATTGACCCTTTATGTGGCATTTGCCCCTGTGTGAATTTGAGAAAACTACATTTTTGTATCCAAAAATCTGATTTTTTTTTTGGATTATTGCCAAATCTTGATTTAACGCTTTCTTGGTATTTATCTTCCTTGGCAAGGACTCTAGCTTTTTAATTTCAAGAGTTTCATTAAAGATCTAAAATTGTGTGCAACAAAAAGACAGAAACTGGGTGTTTTAGACGGATATTCTGCTACTTTCCACCTAAAACCCATATATTCAGGGTGATGATGTGAGTTTATAGAACATGTAGAAAGTTTATTGGCGTTGGCCTTTTGGCTTCAATCAGAAATAACAAATAACTCCAGCTGAGTATCGCGGGCATGTTAAATGCCTTCCTCTTTTCTCTCGGCATAATTTAGTGACGCTTTCCTCTCAAGCAGTTTTACAATTATTCAAATTGCCTGCTGGGTTATCCCATCACGACTTACTTAACCCTCACACTCCATGTCATGGATTTGCTTGAGAAAAATTAAAAGTTAAACGTTTTAAAGTAATAACGGACCCTCTCATCTTTATTTATTTTTTTTTTTAAACTGACCTTGAGCTTTGAATTTCCAATTTCTTATTTTTATTTTTAATCATGGCCACTCACCTTTTTTTTTTTTTTTTAAACTAATGCTGCAGCGGTATTATTAAAAGCCAACGTTTTACATAAACTAATTAGAAGAAAGAGTAAAAAGTCCCAAATGTTTCCATGTTTCGGTTTTAACTCCGTTTTGTTTAACTTTATGTAGCAGCAGCACAAAATTGACTTCGTCTGCATGTTAGACAGACTATCAACACTTTGACTATATATTTTCTCAATAAAGGATTAAGGTTTCTCAAAATGTTTAAATTATTATCATATGTTTTTTTTTTTTCTTTGTATTCTTATGTCAAACCTACAGAGAAATACTTAGAATTTCTCAGGTCTGGATAAATAAGCGGAAAGCGGTCTGTGAGACGTACAAAGGTTGGGGTGTTATTTTATTTTTTTTACATGTAACCTTTCTTTAACTTTATCTCTGACTTGTGTTCCTTGCTTCCTATGATGCCATTTGTTCACTGTTGCTCTCCAGCAACCAGAACAGCTGGATTTACAGAGAGAATAAATTACACTCGGGCATTGCATGACATCTGAAGGCAGCTCCACTTGGTTTTGTTTGGTAGAGTAAAGGGAGGTAAATGCAAATGCTTGGCAGATTCTTCCCGTTTTAATTTGGAGATTTTGACAAACGCGTGTCCCTTTCTTTCCCCTTCACAGTTATGCGCTACTTTGTGTCGATGCATCGCATGACATCTCTGTAAAATCCACTGAAGTTTGTTTTTGTAATGGTATAAATGACAATCTGCAAGTCGTCGTCAGAAAACCGCATCAGTGTGTCTAACGTTAGCGGTCATGTTATTTGGCTATTTTTCCATAATTAAATCAGAAATACATCCCGAATGACACACTTCTGATTAAGCCAACCATTAAAAATCTGTCAAAATGTGGAATTTATGTATTTATTCATGCAGTCTTTTTAGTCTTTTTGATGCAGTTAGGCTTTCATATGGCTCAGGTTGTTACTTCAGGTCCTTTAAAGCGCTCCTGAACCAATGTTCCTGAGCTTGTGAAATTCTATAAACAGACTGAGCAATGTAAACAACTCTGTAATGGATCAGCCTGCCCAATGGGATTCAGTCACACTCACATTCACACCTGGGGGAAATAGCTGCCTCTCAAATCGACCTGACTTGAATGTCTTTGGAATTGGAAAGGAAATCCATGCAAAATCCCCAGCAGATCCAAGTCCCCCGCTTGCTGTGAGGTGACAGTGTTAACCACAGTGCCGCTGAGTGGTCTGGACTTTATACATCTACCCCCTGAAAAGAAGGGGAAGAAATGTTAAAAAAAAAAAAAAAAAAGGGGGGAAAAAAAGTTCCAGTGATTCAAACTTCAAAGTATAGTGGATGAAATTGAATCAGGGTTTTTAGTCCCACCTCACTCTGATGTGAAATAGAGCTGGAGACCTCAGAGGAGATGGTGGCCAGAGTTTGACCACTCACGCATGTCGATGTGCGCACGCCCGCACACACACTTGTGTGTGTGTGTGTGTGTGTGCGTGTGTGTGTGTGTGTGTGTGTGTGTGTGTGCAGGAATGCGTGCTGCACAACTGTGGGAGAAGACCTATTGTTTTTTCCCCCCAGTGAAGAGGTCTGCATTGCCAGAGACCATGGTGACCTCACAGTGGACCATCATCTGGATCCACAGAGCGCAGGAAATAAACGTGACCCTTCCTTTGCCCTTTGCTCCCTCCCTGTCTGTCGTCAACTCCTCCCTTCATTCATCCTTCTGCCTTTCACCTCCTTTACCCTTGACGTAACCGTTGCTACATTCCCAACCCTTACATGTTGAAAATAACCAGGCTGTTTTTCCTCTTTTGGCTGTTTTGGGCACTCTGTTACATCCTGGAACTTTTTTTTCCCCCCTTCTCTTCTTTATGCTCCCTCCCTTTCGGTTTCACCTTTGCCCTTTTCCTTGTTTTATCAACTATCCCAGCACCTCCGTTTCCCAGCACATCCGCAATCCGATCTATGCTGAAAACCCATTGAAAACCACTCAACCCCATCAGGTGGCAGCTGGGAAAAGCAAGTGTGGGGTGGAACTGACCTGTCAACATGTCAAGCACATGACAAAACACACACGCACACACGTCCTGCCTGCATATA